TGCGATTCATCTCTTCTGTCCTCATAAAAAGGGTAGTATTACTCACTCGTTTTTCGCGAATCTGGATTTCGTGCGGACATAACATTCTTAAAGAGACTAATTAGTGTTGCAGGGGCTTGTATATATTAGAAATCTACCTTCAGTCTGACTAGAATCGAATCGAATTGCATCCAGATGGACAGCAAGCTCCTCTAAATGTACGGGAACTAGTGAATGCAAATAACCAACTCAGTGAAGTGCACAAATTTAAAGTGGAGTTGCAAAATGGTACGATGGCGCGGAATAAAAGGAATAATCGGATTGCATCCACATCACAACATAAATAAACTGGCACTGATGACGCAACCGGGGATCAAACGAGAAAAGTTTTGCTCAAAGGTTTTCGTTTATAAACACGCCCACCTGAGAGTTTCAGTTTTAAATGTTCGAATCAAATATGGAGTTGTTTTCATTGATTTCTTTTAGAAGATTCAAGGTCTCCGGTTTATGACTCTAAGGTTCCGTTCCGTTGTAAACAGGAAACTTCTAGCTGAAAATACAAGTAAAAATTTCATACTCTACCACTGGTTGTTTAGTACCTAGGCGAGCTAGGTGGGAGGTCACGTGGTGAGGAATTGCTGGTTCAACAAAACTCGTCTGTTTGACATCTCTATGGACCTCTAAAAATGCACCAGCTTTACTGAGTAAATTCTCAAAATCTAAAGCGATTCACTTGGAGTGTTTTGATGTTGGGTATCAATTTATGAACAACGGCGCCTTTCTGCAGTGGCCTCTAGCTGGATAGCCAAAAGGGCCTTCTCTAGGCAATCGGATGCTTCGAAGGGCGTCAAAACCTGGTAAACGTGGAAAGTATAAATTTGCCCTTATATAGACCTTGTATTTTTGTTAGTTTCCTGGCAGAAACTATTAAACTGGTGGCTGACAGTTGCTGGTGGGGCATACTTCTCCAAATCTATTTCCATGAACGTAGAACGACCCATGGAAATGGTCATAAAGTGGGTGATGTTCTTAGAGTTGCACATTCTAGGATGGTTCCACTGTGGTGTACACAAACTGCATTTTACCGTGCAAAAATCTGGATCTAAAATGAAGATTTAATTTTAGTTTAACCAGTGCAGTGATGACGTAAACCATGGCACTTAACCAGACATGAAGCGTAGTACTAATATCAAATTCCGTAAAAATTTCGGGCACCGGGTTTCAGTCTGTTTTCGGCAGAAAGGTTCCACGTTTTTTACTTCTACGCGTGCTCTAAAAAGGCTTGCGCATGTGCCCCAATTTTGCACGCTGCAGATAGTAAACTACCTTCGAGTTTGTTGTGACATCAAAAGTAAATTTTGAGGCCTTGGTTCAACACTAAGGTCAACAACATTTCTTCCACTAGGGACTCTACATCAGCCCATTGATTCCTTAATGCCCATCGTAAAGCCTTTGGTGGAGCCGTTAAACTAGTCGTCAAGCTTTCTTTTTTGGTTAGCTTTAGCTTGTTCGAGCCGAAACGTTCTATATGACCGGAGTTCGAGTTTTGCTGCGATCACAAAGAAATATTGTTGTTTGGTTCCATCAATAATGAAATTTGTGTACAGCACTGTCTCCATTTAGAGTGGATTGACAAAATAACTTAGTCACAAAGCGGTATGGATATATATTCACTACTTAAATCAAAGTTGTCCACATAGGATACCTAGTGAATATCCCACATCTCTCCCACGGCATTGTACAGTTGTTTTGAAAGAAAAATAACCATGCTCAACAGGGAGCCCTAGATGCCACTCTGTTTGAACTAAAGATAAATCACCGGTTTTTTACATTTGGCTTACATATGTCCGGGTAACTTGATAGAATAAGTCTTTAAATTTCTACCAAAAGATTTTTGTATCACAGATAGACAGGATGTTTTTGTCCTGATAGCAAAATATCTAAGTAGACCTAGAAGTTTTGTCATGAACAGCTCATGGCATATACCCATGAACCAAGGATTAAACAATGATTCTTCCAGCGTTGAGTAGATGCTTGTAAGACTTGTCTGTTGTTTTAGTAAGTTATCCTCAAGGTTGGCTAAAAGTTCGGTTATATTGGAAGATGGGAGATCCGAAGCAAATGGAAGCAACTTTTCCCTTATATGAGATTGGGAATTAAAGGATCAGTCAGAAAGTTATAGGCACGGAGAGATGAAAGAAGGTAGGGTATCAACGCAGTTACTCTGCTCGTCATCGCGAAGAGTTTCTAAGATCGCAGCTGTGTTGGTCGGATGTCAGTTTTGGTGACGAAATGTGTAAATGCTGATCGCTTGGAGGGCGAATAAAATTTTGTCCCATGGGGTCATGCTCCTCTCATCTGTAAAATTGATAAGTATCCTGCTGTACCTATCAGTCTTTCTATGTGCCACATCACTTTTGTGTATCATAAAAACTAAGAATTTCACTTCTTGTCTTGGGTTCGTTTGATAAACGAGTAGTTTGCACAATTTAGCGAAGTTAAACGTAGGAGGCGAGCAGATCAAGAAGGAAGTTGCAATGAGCAGCGACAAGGAACGAGTGAATCGACATTGATAGATTTGCTCGTAAACTTTTGGAAGACGTTTGAAAACTACGGACAGCTTTCTTCTTTCAATGTGATCACCTTTGTTATCCATTCCGGAGAGATATATTGTCGCACTACATCGGAACTGATGCAAGACAGTCTGGATTGAGGCACAATTGGCAGTGTGACCAATCTGGCTCAGTACAATACTTGTAGAAAGAATTACTTTTAGGACTGAGTTTATTAATGTCTGTTATGATCTGGGTAGGTTTGGAGCTGCTCGCTGAACAGCAAACCATGAGTTAAGAACGTTCCCCCCTCCGCCCCTGAGGTCATCGGGATTTTCAACTCCTCAACCGTTCATAAATTTGGAAGAATCATGATTTCACCCACCTTAGTTTCTAGAAATAGATGCAGTTCTTATGGAGCGAAATGTATTGATATCAACCAAATGGAGATGAATCAGAGAAACATTTATCTATGGAACTTTGTGATTGTAAATAACCTTGTTCCCAAAACAGCGTGCATGTTACGTAAATAAAGTACCAAGTCCTTGAACAAAACCTTCCACTTATGCATCATTTCATGTTGCACTCTTACAAGTTCACTTTAATCCAGGCGCATTTTTTTCGGCATTTTGCAATGTGTTAAAAAAAGTCAAATTAATCAGTAATACCACAAGGTATACGTGGACGTTTAATTAAGTAATGGTCATGATCAATCCGTCTTGGAAGGCAAGTAAGGTAAGTGGGAAATTGGATTTTGATGGGACTATTTGAAATAACAAAAATAGCAGAGCTCATTTCACTTCCAGAACAAAAGATTCTCGTAAAACGAGCATACAGCAGACCATTTAAAGTACAGTTGTATTTTTGGGCCCACAGAACCCCCTTGTGAACTCTCATTTCATTGCTGAGCAACCTGTTGAAAATTTACCCGCGAATCCTCGGGAATTTATCTGCTCTAAAACATATGGAAGTACTGTTCCGAAGAAGGAGCTGGTACCCGGTGGGTTAGGTTAGCTTACATACGCATGTACGTACGTATGTACGTTCACTCGATACTCTTATGAAGTGAATAGGATGACATAAACTACATCCACCGCCTAATACAAACTCCTCGTGCAATAGCTGATATCATAATTTCTGGTTTATTCACTGTTCCCCACTCTAGATTTTGTTTATGAATCCTCAAAGACTAGAGCTTTGTTGGAATTTGCCAATTACAACTTTTATTTATAAAAGTTGTACAACCCACGACCGGTTTCGCCCTTCTTGGGACTCATCAGGTAGACGCAATCCCCAAGCTTCCGTCAACCTTATGTTCTAGTTGAACCTAAATTGGACTGTTTTCGAGAAATACATTCATATGCAAATCAATTTGGTTTTCAGGAGAGACTCAACTGAAGCTCTCGTTTATGATATTCCTTAACTGAATGTGCTGCACACAGGCCGCCTCATGATTCAGTAGACACGATATTCTAGATAACGCAGTATATTTTCATAAAGGAAACTATCATAAACGAGGGATTCAGTTGTCTTTCGTGAAAACCAAACTGATTTGCAAATGAGTGTATTTCTCGAAAACTTTTATTTATATTAGAGCTGTTTTGTTGGCCCCCTACTGAGGATAATTTTAACCCACACTTCACCACTGAAATGTGGGGTTTTCATCATGACGCTAGCATGTTGTCAGTCAAAACGTACTCGATTCTGACTCTACGTGGAAATACTCTTTAATACTGATAAACATATCGCAAAACACTGGTATGCATGGGTATAGGCTGGAACTTGCAACCTGGTAACTTCCGAAGTGGGCACAAGTCAAATCAAGCATATTCAATAGAAGAAAACTTATCTCTGCCTATGTGCTTCGTACAAACAAGTCAATCTCCAGTCATAAAAATACCTGATCAATACAGTGGATCAAGAGTCTGTGCGAAAGTGCCTGTATAAGCCTCTCGTATATCGGAAATGTGGTCCAAGGCACCATAGTTTACGTCGCCTTTAAGCATTTTTCTCCATAGACACGGTTCGCTTGGTCGATACAAAATCTTCAGATGACTTCCTGGTTATCTTGACAATAGTAAAGCTTCAGAATAGGTTACCAGATATATCTGTGGGCTACATTATTACAGAAGCGCTGTTTTAGCTTGCCTCAAAAATATCCTGATTTAGTTATAGCCTAGTAAATGAGTAAACTGTCCAGGGTATTTATGAGTTTAGCAAGAACAATACCTTTGATAAGTATGAAAATCAGTGAGGGACATATCATACTTCTGAATGTTGGCTTCACAGATACAAAGGTACTCAGATTTAGTCTCTACCTGTATTATTGTTCAGATAACTCCATACGACTGTAACCCAGCCATTCATTATCCACTACCGGTGTATCCTTGCGGCTTACAGTACGACACTATCATCGATTACTACCACAGATTACTGCGTAATAAAATTTTCTTAGACTACACTGAAGCACTACTCACCTCTTCCACTTCTGCCGAGGAATCGCAAATCACTGAACCGCGCCTCGTTTGCGTGCATTATAGTGACAGGATTTTTGAGCTCGGCATACGGGCGCTCTTCATTCCCTGCTGTCACGCTGACTCTGGTTCCGTCAGGAATATTTGTCAAACTGACCACACGAAATTGACTTGGTAACGATTTGTTTGATCGCCAGTGTTTCGGCAACGGAGTACAGAGGATATGTGGGTTGGTTGTTGGGATCAAATCTGTGGTGTGTTCACGAAGGGCTCTTTTTAGGGTGTACTCAGCCAACAGGATATCTGACATAGCTCAGATTGAGTGCTACCGTTGTGAGGTGCCTGTCAAACGTGAGCGTTTCAAATCACAGTGCTGGGACGCGGATCGAGAAGCAGTCCAGATTTAATGTACCATAGACCTCAAACTGTAAGAACAGCGTCTTGGTCAGAGTTGGTCTGATTCTAATATGGTGCGAAATAGCGGCTGTAGAAATCTATTGTAATATATTCATTCTTTACCGATGCTCTCGTTCAGTGGTTGGTCAACCAACACCACACGACAGAGTAGTAGCAGCAGCAGTAGTACACCAATCTGTTGCCCACCACCCCCACAAACCATTAGTGGCTAGACGCTGTGGTAAGGTTGACGTGGGGGTAACATGTACGAATTTAGTTGTTCTACGTGGACCACTAGAGGTTGCGCGTGCATGCGCGCGTTCGTGTGTCTGTGCCTTTTTCACCATACACGTGTTTGTTTGTGCATATGTGAGTTGCAAAAGCATACAGTTTGATGAACTGCCAAAAGTGAAAGCATAGCGCGGCAGCACTCGGGAAATTGGAATGTGATGATTGGTGGAAAAGACAACTGTGGCTTACAGCAGTACGTGTGTTTGTCTATGTAGGCCTCGGAGTTGTGGTTGCATGCTTGATATCGCTTGACTGAGGGATCGAGTATAATCCCTGATGCACACCACCAATAGGCTGGAAGTCAAGAAAATGATATGCAAGTCAATCCCACAGAAAGCCGGTCTAGAATCGCAGGACGATCAGAAGGGAAAACGCACAGTCGTGGAATAGTGGGATGAGAATAGAATACGGATAGCCGAGAATGAGGTCTGACAACATATTTCCGACACCTGACAGACACGTTACAGTACCACTCGAAACAAGACGAAACCAGTAGGCATGGTGAACATTGAGTTGGCACCAAATGGTGTAAACTGATAACTTGACTGCATTTTCGCTTGCGCAACACTCGAGTGATTTATGCAGCATTGGTTTCCGAATGCGGAACATAAGCAGACAAGCAACTACACAGTGTGTGGTGCAGACAAACATCCAGTAGTCCAAGATGACCGATTCGCTTTTGAGGACCAATTCAGTTGGATCAGGTTGCATTTGCAATAAATCATTGCGGTGGCGATGCAACAAGAGACAAACCGCATGCATATGTACTACTGAGTCGAATGGCGGTGAACCGATAGTCTCACAACAAATTTGCTGATAAAATAGTGAATAAACTGAAAACAGGGCAGATCACTTATTTGATGACGGTATGACGGGTCAGTACAATAACTACCATAATACATCTGAGCACACTGCTTGAAAATACTGAGAAGCCCGTGAGGTTTAGTCCTTCCTGGGGATCATCAGGTATGTGCAGTTTTCGAGTATGCGTCGTCATTGTGTTCAGTCTGAAACCAAATTGAACGGGAGATTCAACCGAATACTGACAAAATCTCTTCTGACATTTTTCCTTAACTGAAAGCACTGTACAAAATCTCTCTAATGATTTACTTAGTGTAACACTTGAGATATTGCGTTAGATTTTCCTGACAAAATCCAAATTTGGCCAAGGAATACCATTAACGAGGGATTCAGCTGCGATTCAGCTAAACATCCCAAGTTACTTTCAGGATGGGTGTATTTTCCAAACTGATTCTGTTTCATGTTCACATAGAACAAAGTTGACGGAAACTAGGAGACTGCACCTTACTGATGATCCCCATGAAGGATAAAACCAATCGTTTGCTCCGTAGTACATTCCATCATGAAAATATACTGTAAAACACGAAAGGGTTTCTGTGTAGTAAATGCCGTTGTAGAGTAACACATGCGAAAGTTTCAGTTGGGATTTAAGTGAGTCACCTATGACCACTAACTTTATCTACAAAGGGGTTGATTTCATCATCCGGCATGATTGTTCTTAAGGATCGCAGTATGCTACTCCTAGTATAAACCTTTGAAGATCACAACCCATGACAACTCTAACAGTGAAACCATTGCCGATAAATCATCATCACCTTCACTGGTAACAATACACTAGTAACACGTGCATGTGCTTCACTGCCGATAAGAAGCTGATACAGTTTACCTACCTACAGTAGGTAGGTACCTACAGTACCTACCTACTATTTGGTAAATATATGTTTATCAACTTGAAGGTTTTTTTCCCACAACCAGGCAGAATCTTTCCAACCACATCTATATTCATTGTTTACAACAGCTTAAAAAACGAAAGACCTTACAAGAATCACTTTTGCCCCAATGGTTTGAGTCGTCTTGTATTCTCTCCAAACTAAGATTGCCCGTGAGAAACTGTCCAGCTTGTCTCCGTTGGGCAGGGGGATTCCCTGGGTGTGGAAGTGCTTTTCGATCATGTGTGTAAACAATATAACAGATGAATATAATGAAACGCTGGACATAATGGAGTAATATTGTGCCTCCCCAGTCTGAACCTGCAAAATACCGGATCAACTGATCTCCTAAGTGAAAGGTCACTATGATGAGAGTTAGGACCACTCAGTGAGGAAAACTCCAGTTTTAGGATACCTCGTGATTTTAACCCCAGACTTTCACTTGAGACATTCTTGTACGCAATAAAACAATAAAGGTTTGGTTTTCTGAAACATTTGGAATAAGTAAATATCTCTATGTATGGCTCCATAAAATGAAGAGTTTATCATGTATATTTGTAATGCACTACTCATAAGGTTACTGAAAATCCATCGACAGCCCACGACCGTTTTCGCCCTTCTTGGGGCTCATCAGGTGTGCGCAGTCCTCGAGTTTCCGTCAAACTTATGTTCTACTTGAAATCAAATTGCTCGAAATTAGTGAACTACACTCATTTGCGAACTGAATGTACTGCAAAAAGGTCGTCTCGTGTTTCAGTTGGTAAGATCTTCGAGTTATCGCATTATATTTTTCTAAAGAGAAATACCCACAACGTTGCTGAAAACTAATGTACTCGACTTTGGTTTGAAAACGGAACAGCTCCATTAACAATAGTAAAAGGTGTCAGAAACACCCGTTTCATTGAAGGTCTACGCATTAGGTTGTTCCAAAGCTTGTACCTTTGACAAACTCCTGCTGAGCTCAAAGAATGCCTGCGCTTGTTGTTATAGCAAGTGATGAGTTGACCATCATGGTTTATCTGTTTTTTGGGAGTAAACGCGTCCTAAAATATACAGACATATCCCCAAAGACACGTATTCCTAAGAAAGCACAGCCCACCCATGGTCACAGAAAAGTGCTGCCAGCTTTACAACAAGGGTAAACTAACTCATTCATATTGACATGAAAAATTTTATCCGTGATATACCTTATATCGGAATACACATTTTTGCGACGTTCTATGGTGGTCCTTATAGATGCAAAGTCCAAGGTATCTAGAAGTCAGTTGGATTAAAACTAATTCAAATAAGTGGTCACAAAATAAATAAACTTTAATTCACTTCTCCTGAATTCCCCATAGGCTTGTGTGTTCTGTTGGCTTGGGCATAAGAAGATCGGTTCCTTGATGTTCTGTGTCCAGATCTTCCGTCCCTGGAGATGTTGCACATCTTGAGAAATTCCAAACCATGGTAAAGGCAGAGTCTTCGGAGAAGGTTCAGGAATAACGCTAACAATTAGTTGAATGAAAGCCATTTCGAAATGATGCAGGCCAACTGACCTAGTAAGGCTGATAAAAAGTTTGCCTGTTTAGCCAAAATTTGTAGTGAGCCTATGTTCTCCAAAGTACAAGCTTGCTCAAACACAATTAAAACCCCAATGGACGAATCATAAGTATTCTCCAAAAGCTCACCCTGATAGGAAGGAAGTCAAAATATCTAAAATAAATTCAAGGTACAACCAAAAAGTGTTTTTTCGGTGCGATTTCACTACAGAGAACGATTCAGCACCATGTGAAATCGTATGAATCAGTTCTTCAAAATACTCGTAAGTTCTGCTGAACAATATGGTGCTATCCTCTAATGAATGAGTCTTGACTGTGTACACCTTAAATGAAAATAATGCACAGAACAAAGCTCGGTATTTTTTACCCGTGTTTAAATAAAAGGCTCCACTATACAGATATCAACTTTTATAGAAAGCACAGCACGACAGAGATTACTTGTGGTTAGCTGACGTAAAGTATCCAGCCACAGGGGCATTTCTGTTTGACCATTTAAATAGACTGTTGAGGTTGACTTTCGTAGTATCTATGTCCTCTAAACAGATAAAGTTAATATTAGTGTGTCCTTAAGCCAGTTCTATTATCTGCATGGAAAGTAAGTAAACGCAGTTCAAGATATTTTAATCTCTGTTTCTTGGGGATGGGGGTAGGGAACAGAGGAACCTGCCTCCCGTGAGTGCACTAGATGGTCTACATTTTGAGGTGGGGAACGATCAACTGAGGGGAATCAGTACAAAAGCACACTTTGGGGCACCAGTTTGAACTTGTTCTACACAGAAAGTGGTCAGTATTGAGAGAGAGACTGTGTTTTGCAGCCACGCTTCTTGTCAGATCTTCCATTCCTTGATTAGCGTCAGCGGGGAACCCCACCTCAGATATTTCACCGAAATTTCAAACATGTCAGCTGGAACTAGAGAAAATCAAATATAGTACTTATCTTGACTTTTTTCTTTCAACTCAAATTACTGTCGGATGGAAAACATCAAAACATCCTAATGACCAAGCCCTGATATATTTATACCAAACCAAATGCAAATAAGCAACTCGCAAAAAAGGTTATTAATTCAGTGTTAATGTACTTATTTTCCATAGAAGAAACCATAGCCACGTTGGGTAGCGACCTCTTAGAAGAATCCTAAAACGCAGTGTTTTTTGTTTAAAAGAAAAACCGTGAGATCGGTCAACCCTGTGAGCAGTGATCTACTCCATCATACCACACTTAAGTTGTTGGTTCCTCATCCTAGATTTGACTAATAGGAGGTGATATCCACAATTTATTTCCAATAAAGTGTTTAACTGAATAACCTGGTTGTCATGGCTCTACTTATTTCCGAAATTTACCAGATCGGCAC